AAAAAAAAAAAAAAAATCTTGAACCTGTTTACTTTTCTCCACCTTCGTGCTACCATCTGAACCCAGGCCACCACTATCTCTTCACTGGACTGTGGTCACAGCTTCCTGACTGGTCTCCTCACTTCCCCTCCTTTTGTTTGTTTCAATTTTTGAAGAGGCAATATGTGTACATGGTATATACAGAGTATAAAATGAGAAGTAAATATCCTCCCCACCCATCCTCCTCCCACCCAGTTTTCTTCCCTAGAGGCAAATACTGTTTCCGGTTTCCTCTGTTCCTCCCAGAGATAACGGATGATACAAGCAAAGAATCCTTATTTGTACACAGAGAAAATACATTTTTTTCTTTTCCTTTTTTAGACAAGTGTAGCATATCTTACACTGTCCTCTACCTCTTTGTTCACTTAAAAATGTATCTTGGCATATATATCCTTCCCCATCATTGATAAAGAGCTGCTTCATTCTTTACATGGTCTGTACTGTATGCCTTTGTATGGATGAACCAAAATGTATTTTACTTGTTGGATAAATTCCTAGAAGTGTATCCACTTTAAATTCTGATAGACACTGCCAAATTACTCTCTAGAGAAGCTGAACCAATTTACACTCCCACCACCAACGTGAGAGTTGTTTCCCCACAGTCTCACCAACACAGTATGTCATTAAAGTACACTGCTGCCAACCTGGCATGTGAAAAATGTGATCTCATACATTGTAGTTCTTTTTTTATAAAGAGTGAAGCTAGGCATCTTTTCTTTTAAAAAAATATATATATATTTTAAATATGTCTTTACTGATTTCAGAGAGAGGAAGGGAGAGGTAAAGAGATAGAAACATCAATGATGAGAGAGTCATTGATCGGCTGCCTCCTGCACGGCCCCTGTTGGGGATCAAGCCCACAACCTGAGCATGTGCCCCGACCAGGAATCGAACCTCGATCTCCTGGATCCTAGGTCAATGCTCATCCACGAGACAAGCAGCTGGGCAGGAGGTCATGGTTTGATTCCCGATCAGGGCACATGCCTGGGTTGCGGGCTTGATCCCCAATAGGGGGCGTTGCAGGAGGCAGCCAATCTATGATTTCTCTCATCATTGATGTTTCTATTTCTCTCTGAAATCAATAAAAACATATTTTTTAAAAAAATAAACATCCAATAAATATGGATTGAATTACTTTAAGAATTCAGTTCAGTGAGGAAAATTATAATCATGGAGGTAAGCTCTTAAATGGAGGAATGTATACAATGCAATGAGAACACAGAGGTTGGAGCTGCCAATCTGTCTGAGGCAAGCATGGAAGGCTTCACGAAGTGGTGATGTTCAAGCTGACAGTCCTGATAGAAAATGGTATTTCAGGCAGAGGGAATACTATGTGCAAAGGCAAAACAGCACAACATATTCTGAGAACTACAAATAGTTTGTTACTAGCCCTTAAAAAATCAAAGGAGTACTACAAATCTTACAGATAGAAAGATCTGAAGATCAATTGTATACCAACAAATTAGATAACCTGGATAAAATGGACTACCAAACTACCAACTACCAAAACTCACTGGCAAAGAAATAGAAAATTTAAATAAAGCACAGGCAATCATAGAATAGATAAATGGGACTTGATTAAAATTAAAAACTCTGTGACCCAAGGAATACCATCAAGAAAGGGCAAAGGCAACCCACAGAATGAGAAAAGATAGAGTGCCGCTGTTTGGAATGGAACTCCAAAGTCTGTGATCTCCACCATCTTTAACACTTTGCTTCCCAGCCCTGGGCGGTTTGTCTCAGTGGTTAGAGCGTTGGCCCGCGGAATGAAGGGTCTGGGGCAGAGTATGATTCTGGTCAAGGGCATGAAATAAAAAAAAGCCAAAAACAAACACTCTGTCTCTCTGCTTACAAGTATTACTTATGCTGAATGTGCTCCCATTTGCTAACATCACTGGACTAGGACACTAGCAATATTTCCTGTTTTGTGTACCTCACCGGGTTCCTACCAGGATTCTAAATTCAACCTCAGCCTGAAGGGAAAGATTCACTCTGTAACTGACTTCTAGAATCCTAAAGTCAGCCCATCTTATAAGCTGGAGCTTTCAAAGCACAGGACTATCCAACCAAGGGGCTTATATTTCCCAATGAGTTAATCTTCAAATACCTATGACAAATGGGATTTTGTCAAGTTTATAAAAATTGATCAAGTACATGGCAGGGTTCTTACTCTCATCTTTTTAAGAAATTGAGGCTCTAATGTAAATGAGACAAGGCTTTTAACTGCTATGATTATTAAAAGGTGATTAATATGAGCTGGATATTTAGACTAATTGCCCTTGTTGTCTTTCCTACTCTTAGTCTCTAGGAAAATATGCGACAGGGAAGGCTGAAATCCAAACTAAACATTCTCCCTGGTTGTGGCAGACTGCCTAATGTGGCCCCCAATGATCCTTGCTCCTTGCTATTGACACCCTTATACAGTCGCCTCCCACAATGAATAAGGCTGACCTGTGACACCAATAGGACACTGCAGAAATGATAGTGTGCAATTTCTGAGTCTTAGAGATAAAAGATACTGTGGTCTCCGCCTTGCTCTCTCTTGGGTCACTCACACTGTGGGAAGCCAGCTGCTATGTCACAAGGACACTCAAGCAGCGCTATGGAAGATCCCTGTAGTGAGGAACTGAGGCTTTTCCCCAACAGTTAGCACTCAGCTGTCAATCATGCAAGTGAGCCACCTTGGAAGTGGAACCTCCAGCACTAATCAAAACGTCAAATGACTGCACCCACAGTCAGTCTAAACCACAGCCTCATGAGAGACCAGAACCATCCAGCTAAGCTGCTCCTGAATTCCTGACCCACAGAAACTACAGATGATAAATGTTTGTTGGTTGTTTATAAAACATCAAGGGCATACCAGGAGATGAGGATGAACAGGCAGGCCAAGGCCAGATCACAGAGAGCCTTCAGGCTTAGATTTTATCCTGCTAACCAGAATCTTTTAAACTGTGCTCTGCAATGACCCCTAAAGGAAATCAGACAGGGGAAGGGAAGGAATCCTTAGGAGGTTGGGCTCACCTCTTCCCCAATCAGAACAGCTTCTTGCTTATTTATACTTCTGGGGAAGAATTTCATTTGAAGAAAGGACTGTCTGAAAATGTTTCAAAGGCACTGCTATAGGTCATGAAGAGTCACTGAAAGATTTGAAGCAAGAGACTGACATAATGTGCACTTCAGATCATTCAGGCAGAAGAAAAGTAAAAGTAAAGACAAAAGACCAGGTAAAGGCCACTTCAACAGCCTAAGCAAGTGATGGGTGCTGGAATGACGGCAGTGCAGCCGGGCTGAATGTGAGGAGGCAGCCACAAGAGAGATTAGAAGGCAGAACCAACAGCACACGGTGAGTGAGTGGATGTGTGCAGGGGACTGTGGGGCAGGGATGGATGAGAGGAAGAGAGGACAGGCACCCAGATTTCTGCCTTGGGCCACTGCACGAGTGGTGGTTTCAGCATAGGAGGATGAAAAAGAAATTGTGTTCAGCTGATAGTTACAGAGACCTGACTGCAGTGGCTTCAACACAAGAGTTTGTTCTTGTGTAAAGGAAGTCTAGAGGAAGGTGGCTCCTGGCAGCGGTTGAGACCCAAGACTAGTATGGCAAAAGCTCTGCAATTCTCGTGGCCTTTCCTTCCCAGTCCCAGGATGGCTGATGGTGCCCCAATTATCAAGTCCGTTTTCCAAAAAGCAGGAAGGAAGAAGAAGAGTAAAAAAAGGTCTTCCTTGGAAGCCCCACCCAACAATTTCTACTTCCATCCCTTTTACTTTGCAAAAGCTAAGTCTAACTCAGAATCTTAGAGGGTTTTTTTGGGGGAGGGGGCTGGAATATGTACCCTAACTTTATAGGCACTAGTATATAGGCATGTATAAGAGAAGATTTAGGGTGGTACTGAGTGAACCAATCTGCAGTATTTTCCATGAGAGAAATGATGAGCTTGGCCTTAGTCATGTTGGATCTGAGGCAGAACATCAGGTGAGGAGGTAGAGTAGGCAGTTATAAAGTTCTGGGTACAGGAGAAAAATGTAGGCAGATTTAGATCTTGTGAGTCCTCAGCATGTAAGTGTAACTGAGGCCAGAAAAGGTGGTGAGAATGTCCAAGGACAGTATAAAGAGGGGAGAAAATCAAGGTCAGAGCCCTGGGGAAGACCAACATTTAAGGGACAAGTAGAAGAATCCAGAAGATGGAGAAAGCCAAAGAAGTAGGAGAATCACAAGAGCAACTTCACAGAAATCAAGGAAGAAAACAGCATCATGGGAGGCACAGGCAATAAAGATACCGACAGAAACTCACCCACTGATTTGCAACTGGGGGAAAGGTAGATGAGGGAAAGGGAGGACTAGGTAACAACAGTGTCAAAGGAGAGGAACTTTTTTTTTAATATGTCTCAAAGAGAGGAAGGGAAAGGGAAAGAGAGACAGAAACATCAACAATGAGAGAGTCATGGATCGGCTGCCTCCTGCACGCCCCCCACTGGGGATCGAGCCCACAACCTGGGCATGTGCCGTGACCAGGAATCAAACCGAGATCTCCTGTATCATAGGTTGATGCTCAACCACTGAGCCAAGCCCAGCCAGGCAAGGAGAGGTACTTTAGAATGGAGAGACTTGGAGATGGAAAGTGTTGGGTTCCAAGGCCTGTGTTGGGCAGACTGCTTTATTTTCAGTAACTGGTGTTCCCACACTAAGCTGGCTACAGAAGAGGAAGGGTAAGGAGCAGACCAAAATTCCACCCTGGCCAGTTGGGGAACACACTAGACTGGCCATGATTAGAGCAGGAACTATGTCAACCAAGGGGGAAATGTACCATGCCTTGTTGGTAAACTCTAAGAAGTCTGTGGCCCAACAGTCACTTGGCCAGAGGCCACTGGCCTGGGAAGTACCCCAACACTAAGGCTGGGCCTAAAACTGGTGAACTTCCAGGATCAGGCTGACTGAATTCCAGGGTTTCTACTTCAGCCTAGGGCCACACAGTCTTCTGGCCTAGAACTGAGGGCATCTGCCTTACAGTGTCATAGGTGTCTGTGGCCTAGTTGTGTTATTAGATTACTTTCTGTATTAACTGAATAATATATATTCTTTTAACATATATAATACTATTATATAGTATTATATTATATATGTAATATGCTACATAAATATATAATTAATAATTTACTGATCTTAAAGATAGCCAGTTAATAATTTTCAAAATCAGAAACCTAAATAAAGATTAATGGAGGAAGAAAATGCACAAGAGAATGAATTAGCTTTAGATAGGGCATATTATTTATAAACCTTCCTATATACCATAATGAAATGTTTCCCCAATATTTCCTGGAGAACATCCCTTTTACTATCCTAAGTTTTATTAAGATGTGTGCCCCTGGTTGTATCTTGTATATAACCAAAATTTTCTTCAACTGCACAATTCTGGAAGCCGAGTTGTCACAATGGTGCTTGATGCCTTATTTGCTTCTGAATGTCACTGAGCAGTGGTTCCTTTTTTCATTAGTGCGGGCTGATAACAGTTTGGTTTCTTAAATAAACACAGCTAGATGTCAGCCTGTAGTTTTTTTCTAGTTCAACACCAGAATATAAACTCCGTAAGGGCAGGGTTCTTTCCTTGTTTACTGGCTGTACTGGGTTGGATAGTGCCCCTTAAGAAGTAATGTCCTTCCAGGAACCTCAGAATGTGGCCTTATTTGAAAAGATGGTTGTTGCAGATATAATTAGTTAAGATGAGTTCGTGTAGATGAGTAGAATGTGTCCTTCATCCTTAATCCAATGTGACTGGTGTCCGTATAAAAAGAGAAGAAACACAGGGACAGAGACACAGAGAGGCGGCCATATGATGATGTGGACAGAGATGAGAGTGATGCATCTACAAGCCAAGAAATGAGAAGGATGGCTAGGAAACACCAGAAGCTAGGAAGGGGCGAGGAAGGATCCTCCCCTAGAACTTTCCATTTGAGCATGGCTTTGCTGACACCTTAATTTCAGACTTCTAGCTTCCAGAACTGTGAAACAATTTCTGTTGTTTTAAGCTACCCGGTTTAGCAAACTAATATACTAGGATATCCCAGGTTTGTAGGAAGTACCTGGCACATGGTAGATCAAGAAATGAAATATTTGCTAAATGAATGGATGTACTTTTTAATTCCCTAGGATTGACCTCTCTGTGACATCTGGCACCTGTTGATGACCACCCTCCCCCCGCACACATTTCTGTCATGTCCTGTTTTCCACATAAGCAGGTTCTCCTGATTCTGCTCCAATTATTATGTCTGCTTTTTAAATGTCAATGTTTCCCCGGAGTATATCTTTAGTCCTCTCATCTTCTTGCTCCACAATCTTTCTATGTAATTTTATCCCTTCCCAGGTTTCAATTCCCCATATGTACCAACGACTCCCAAATCTAAAAGAGATCTAACCATGTCACTCCCCTACTTTAAAAAAGGAGATGGTTACTGCCCACAGGTAAGGTCGAAACTTGTCCACTTCAGCATTTTATTGTCCTCACCCCAGGAGGCATGAACTCCTTCCTGTAGGGTGACCAAGGCTCTAGCCACAAAGGACTAACCGAATTGCCCAAGCACACATATTTGATGCTTTTAATGCTTCCATATTCCCTTCATCTGGAATGATCCTCATTCCCCTCATTTATTTTGCAAAATCCCTGTGCAAGGCCAAATACAAATGCCACCATCTATTTCTACCTTTCCTGACCACCATTCAGGCAGGATAAGCCACTCCTATCAGTTTCCCTGTAGCCTTCTGTTCACCACACCAGTATTTTATCCTATCACATAGGTAGCCTGTTCCCTCACTGAGCCATGGCTCTTTAATGGTAAGAATGGTACTATATTCATCTTCACAGCTGCAATCCCTAGATCTGTGCCTGAACATAGTATGCTCCAAGAGATTACAGGCTGAAAGAACTTGTTCTACTGGCAAAAAAATATATTACGGCTCTCAAATGGCAATAGAATCACATCTCAGCACTATTTCAACAAAACACAATAAAGCTGCTGTGGCATTAACAGAAGTTAGAGATCTACCATAAATATGAATGCATTGGGCCCAAAAGACCTGTTCGACACTAGATGGGCTATTTACAGCCCTCAGAACTAGACCCCAATCCAATAAGGAAATCCTAGGCAGAGAACATTGACCTCTTACCTGCGAAGATACATGGTCTCCTCATCTTCTGTGTTACAAAACTTGTGGGCGTGTTTGGCAGCATCAATCACCCGGGACCGATCCCGGGGCCTCATGGGCAATTTCTCCAACTGACAGTCTGAAGTAATGAAGAAAGATTTGGTCACTAGAGTCATGAAATAAACCCTGAGGCAATCAGAAGTTTTCAGTGTAAATTTTACTATAATTACTATGCGTATTGAAGCCTATTACTGAATTTTCCAACTAAAAATGACTTGCTGTCAGGAGACCTGGATTTTAGTACCAGCGTTGTTACTACCCTGGTGATCTTTGGCAAATCACTTCTTCTTTCTGGGGTCTTTTACTTTATTTGAAGGATGTATAGATTATATTATCTCAAAAGTCCTCCCCGGCACTACAATTCAAGTTTTGAGTATTTCTGTGATTCAAGTGTCATGGTACACTTGGTTTGTGTTATAAAGCATTAGAACCAGAAGAAATAATCAAGCATCCTCCAATGCCTATGAGGAAAGCACTGGGAAAGGTGGATAAGTTCTTAGAAAAGGAGAGAGGGTAGGTGGTATGCTATATATAGTATGCAAACGACTCATCCCAGTTAGAGAAGTTTTAATATGAAAACACACAGGAAATAAATTAGGTATAGTTATAAAACAGATGGAAAATTGATATAATGCCAATTAAATACCTAAAGGCTCATAGAGAATTCAAGTGATCAGAGTAATTTGAGATTAACAGAGAAGGTGGAGGGGGAGTTAGAGATCACCAGGCAGTTTGCACGATAGCTCATTGCTCTTCACATCGACCTGTTGAAGTAGACATTTAGTATTCCTAGTTTAAAGATGAGGGAATTGAGGTTTAGAAAGGGTAAGAGATCTGCCACGCATTTAATAAGAAGCAGAATAAGAATTCAGACCCAACTCTAGGTGATCAAAAGAGAATTCATTTATTCCACAAATATGTGAGGGTCCTCTGTATACCAGGCACAGTCCCAACACTGTGCTGGGAATTCAGCAAAGAGCAGAGCAGACAAAGTGCCTAACCTGATGAAGTTTACAGTCTAGCAGAGGAGGCAGAAAACTTAAAACTAATAATTATATAATGTGATCTTGGATAATGCTACATGCTAATAAAAAATTTAGGAAGATTGTGGCCAGTGTGGCTCAGTGGTTGAGCATGGCCCTATGAACCAGGAGTTCATGGCTCGATTCCCGCGGTCAGGGGCACATGCCTGGGTTGTCAGCTCGATCCCCAGTAGGGGGCGTGCAGGAGGCAGCCAATCAATGATGACTCTCTCATCATTGATGTTTCTCTCTCTCTCTCTCTCCCTTCCTCTCTCTGAAATCAATAAAGATATATATTTTTTAAAACATTAGGCAGAATATTAAGAGGAAGAACAGTAATCTCAGACAGTGTTAAGTGCTACCAAGAAAAGTCGGGCAGGGTAAAAGGACAGAGTGACAGGGGTGTTATTTTACATAAGGTGGTAGCCAGGGAAGTTTTCTAAAGTGACATTTTAGCAGAGACCTGAATGAAGTAAGGAAGCACCAAGGGAAGAGGGGTGGAGGCAGACAAAATCCCAAAGGTCCTGCCTGGGGGCAGGAACATTTTGATGTGACAGAGAAACATCAAGAAGGCCAGTGTGGCTGAAGTGCAGTGAACAAGGGGAAGAGTGTTATGAGATGAAGCCTGAGAGGTAGCTGGGGGTCTGATCATGCATAGTCTTGGCATGGACTCTGGTTTTATTCTTGGTGTTATAGGAAAACAGCAGTTTGAAACAGGACTCTGGCTGCTGTGTGGAAACGAGACCACTAGGGACAAAAAGTAGAAAGCAAGGGACTACTGTGGAAATCCAGGTGAAGGATAATGGTAGCGTGGACTTCAGTGGTAGAAATGGAGGTGGTAAGAAGTAGCCAGGTTCTAGATAGCTTTTCAAGGAAGAACCTGCAGAATTTGTTGATGGACTGGATGGATGTAAGGTATAACAAAGAGAGAATTCAGCTCTAGGCTCCTCCTGTTCGTCAGACAGCCTCATCTTCCTGCAGAGTGCCAGCTACAACCCTGAGACACGATGGTGAACGGGTTTGTCTGTACTGGGCGCCTGGTTACCAGGGCTGTTTTTAACTCTGGCAAAGGGGATACTGTTGCCATCAAGACCCCTTTATTGACCTCAATTACATGGTCTACATGTTACAGCGTGATTCTACTCATGGCAAGTTCAAAGGTAGTCAAGGCTGAGAACAGGAAGCTTGTCATCAATGGAAAGTCCGTCTCCATCTTCCAGGAGCGAGATCCTGCCAACATCAAATGGGGTGATACTGGTGCTGAATACGCTGTGGAGTCCACTGGTATCTTCACTACCTTGAAGAAAGCTGGGGCTCACTTGAAGGGTAGAGCTAAGAGGATCATCACCTCTGCCCCTTCTGCAGATGCTCTCATGGTTGTGATGGGTGTGAACAATGACAAGCATGACAACTCCCTCAAGATTGTCAGCAACGCCTCCTGAACCATCAACTACTTGGCTCCCCTGGCCAAGGTTATCCATGACAACTTTGGCATCGTGGAAGGACTTGTGACCACAGTCCATGCCATGACTGCCACCCAGAAGACCATGGATGGCTCCTCTGGGAAGCTGTGGCATGATGACTAAGGAGATGCCCAGAACATCATCCCTGCTTCTACTGCCACTGCAAGACTGTGGGCAAGGTCATCCCTGAGCTGAATGGGAAGATCACTGGAAATGGCCTTCCATGTCCCTACTCCCAATGTGTTGACTGTGGATCTGACCTGCCACATGGAGAAAGCTGCCGAATCTGATGACAAGAAGGTAGTGAAGCGGGTGTCAGAGGGCCACTCAAGGGCATCGGGGGCTACACTGAGGACCAGGTTGTTTCCTGAGACTTTAACAGTGACACCCACTCCTCCACCTTCTGTGTTGGGACTGGCATTGCCCTCAATGACCACTTTGTCAAACTCATTTCCTAGTATGACAATGAATTTGGCTACAGCAACAGGGTGGTGGACGGCCTCCAAGGAGTAAGAGCCCCCTGGAACACCAGCCCCAGCAAAAGGAAGAGAGGCCCTCACCTGCTGCGGAGTTCTTGTCACAAATAGATCCCCCAACACACTGAAAATCTCCTGATCTCAACAGTTTCCATCCCAGACACCCTGAAGGGGAGGGGCTTAGGGGCACCATCAATAAAGTTCACTGTACACAGCCAAAAAAAAAGAGAGAGAGAGATTTCAAGCATGATTCTGAGCCCTGTCCAAGTGGCTCAGTTGGTTGGAGCATTGTCACATACACCAAAAGGATGTGGGTTCGATTCCTGGTCAGGGCACATACCTAGGTTGAGTTCAATCCCCAGTCGGGAGACATATGAGAGGCAACCTATCGATGTTTTTCTCTCTCTCCCCCTTCCTCTCTCTAAAAATCAATGAAAACATATCCTTGGGTGAGGATTTAAAGAAAGAAGAAGAATTCTGAGATAATGACTGCAATAGGGAAGACAGAGGAACAGTGGAGAGCAGGGAGTAGGGTATCATGAAATCAATTTGAACATGATTTCTTTGAGAGGCCCATTAGACATCCAAGTGGAGACATGGAATAGGCAGCTGGAGTTTGAGGAGAGGTGCAGGTTAAAGATGAACATTTGGGAGTTGTCAGCATATAGATGGTATTTAAAGCTTGGGAATGGTTGAAATCACTTAGGGAGTGAGTACAAATTGAGAACAGGTGAGAAGACTGAGCCCCAGGGCCTTGCAAGGCCTAAGTCTGAGACAGAAAATGGAACCAGACACTGAAAAGAGGCAAAAATTGAGGTAGAAGGAAAATCAGGAGAGTGTAGAGTCTTGGAAGCAAATAAAGTGTTTCAAGAAGGATGGAGTGCTCATCTCTGTCAAATGCCTCTGAGATGGGGACTAAAATGATCGTTGATTGACCACTGGAAGTGGTAATATGTTGTTATTAACATTGACAAATGTGGTTTAGACGGTGAGGTGGGAAGGAAAGCCTGTCTGAAGTGAGGTCAATTGGGAAGTGAGGATGCAGAAACAGCCAATGTAGGCCACCTCTTGTAGAAATTTTGCTATTTTAAAAAAAGCAAAGAAATGGGGTCATAGCTGAAGGAGAATGTAGGATTAAGGAAGGGTTTTATTTTCATTTCAGATAAGAGCTATTACTGCATCTAGAGGCGGAGTGAGAGGACGGGAAGATAAATCTTTTTTTTCTGAAGGAGGAATTAATTTTGAGACGTCTGGATACAAAGTCACAAGGACAACGTTAAACAGTAACCAGTAAAACCGCCCCCGAGTCGCGTGGGGATGTGTAGGGAGGATTTTGATGCAGAAGGAAAGCCAACCAATTTTCAAAGAGCCTGAGAAAAATCACACTTGAGAACCGGAAGTTTCGACCCTCGCAGAGCACCACCCCTCC